ATCTATTTTAAGACTCTTCTTTTTTTGTCCAAGGACATCATTTGTCATTTATTTAATATATTAGCTTCTGAACTATGCATGAGTCAACAAACTCGGTTTGATTAAGCAGACATTTATTCAAAGTCTGCTGGGTATGTGGGGTAAGTGAGGCATTGCCTGGCCCTTGGGGACCTCATAGATCACAGGGAGCGCAAAGCAGAATCAACTACAGCAGGGTGAATGCACAGAAATGCACACAGAGAGGGGAGAGCTCTCCTCAGCAGGTGGGACTGTGAGGCTGACCACAAAGGGAGGTGTGCAAAGTTACAAAGTAGCAGGGGGACTACATCCTCTAGAACAGCGGTTCTCAACCTGTGGGTCCTGACCCACAGGAACTGTATTAAAGGGCTGCAGCATTAGGAAGGTTGAGAACCACTGCTCTAGAAGAAAAGTAAGAAAAAGAATGACAGGAAAGGAGGCTAACGAGGTACACGGGAGCTAATGTTTGTTAGTGCATCAACCACTTTTGAAGAAGGTTATCATTTATCAGCTGGAAAGCAATCTACTATGTGAAAAATCACCTGCAAATGACTAACAGAGTCTCCCCCCACCCCCGAGAACTGTTCTGAAGAGCTCCCAGCATACGTAGGAGGTTTACAGGGCCTGCCTCCCTTTCCTACCCACTCCATTGCTGCTGTTACTCCTCTCTTGGTTATTATGGCCCAGCTGTGTTAGGTTAGCAAAACAGGTGGGATGGTTGCAAAGATGGAATCCCCATGCCCCAGGCCAATCTGGTATAGGGTACCATTTTGTCCTACAGTTCCTTGTTGGGTTTACCCAGTGACTGTGTGAGCTGGGCCTCCTCCTCCCTCACCATGCTCACACCACCCTGCCCTGCTTCCTGCTGTGTCTTGCTCACAATACCTCATTCCAGTTTCACCCTGACCTTGCATGGTCAGCACCATTTTCCTTGACCCCGTTTGAGGGCTGAGAAGACTCACAAAAGGAGGTCAAGTCACTTATTGCACAGGGCTGTGAGACAAACTACCTGACCCAGGAAGAAAGAGAGGGGCTGGCTCAGATGGGCCACCCAAACACTCAAGCACTATAAACATTAATGCCTTTACCTCAAAATTACTGGACCTGGACTTGACTTGGGACCGTGGGAAATGGACTGTTGTCGGGTTTCAAGGCAGCTACCTGAGTCTGAAACTGTCAGGGTTTCAGGTAGCTGTCTGTGTCCTTGATTCCTGGGGTGCTCTTGGTCAAAAAATGACCAGATACTTCAAAGTAAGGCAAGCGTGAAACGAAGTTTATTGAGAAAGAGAGAGATAGGCTTACCAAGCAAGATACAGGTTTCCAGAACAAGATATGTTTACCGTCAACAGCATGGACCCCCCCTGCCATGGCAAGTAGGCAAAGAGGCCTGGATTACGACTGAAGCTTCTGTTTTATACTGTCTGGGTTGGGCCTACCTCATGATTCAGAGGTCACTTTGGAACCAGAGTCTTATTGCATATGCAGACCCCCATGAGCCTCTCTGAGAGCCCATGGTGGTGAACCATAATGTAGGTTTAAACCAAAGACATGATAATTAGCCTTAAGCTTGTTCTACATCACTTTCAAGACTACTGTACCTGTTGTTAGGCCAGGGTCTTCTATACCATCTTGCAGTTGGCCCACTAAGTTCTGATTGGTAGACTGGGGTGGTAGATTGGTCAGGTGTTCCCTCCTTCCCAGGTCTGAGCAACACCTTGGGACAGAATTAAGATGGGTAGCACTGAGATGGGGGCCCCATCCTTGTCTTTCTTCCCTAGAAAAGCCAAATTTCCAACTATCTACCTAACACTTGGGCTTTGGCGCTGCTAGCCAATAGCTGTGTTAGAGGCCTACTCTCTATTTGAATTTAACATTTTGCTCTGAACTACATGTCGGCAGGTCAACAAATGATTACATATTCAATAGTTAAATATGTTAGCATTCTCCTTCTATGCTGTGAAAGTGTACAGTTTCTATTAAAAATATTAATTTTTTTATCATAACTTGAGAGCACAGATATAGGGACAGAAAAGTTCAGAAGCTCTGAGGACATGTTGGGAAAAATGGTTTAAATATACTTAATCCTAAAAAACAAAGGCAATCCGTGATAAGGATGGACCCAGGTGGCCTGCCAGGTCAAGGAGGGCTATTTGAGGCCTTTGAGGGCTATAAATTAGTGCTGCAGTGCCCTTTTCAAGTGCCAATCTTATTCTCCTAGCTGTTTCCTCAGGCTGCTTTCTTTCTCAAAAGATCTGGGCAGCCAGCCCTGCTCCCTGGCTTCTGCGTGTGCTCTGGGCTCCCAGGAGGGCTGGCTGCCCAGAGGCCTGTTCAATGGTGGCTGCACTGAGGATGCTGCGTTCTTGTGCTCCAGGCCATGAGTTATCAAAGGTTCCTGGATAAGAATCTTTTCTATTTTTAATTGGATCTTAAAGTGACTGAGAGTTGAATATGTCAATTTGAAAAGAAATAAAAGGGCAGCACCAGGACAATATTTACTGTCTAGAATTCATAAAGGTCTCAGCCAACTGAAGCCTAATCATTTGAAAATGCCCTTTGCAGAGCAAACTATTTTATTTTCCCCAGTTTGCCTCTCACCTTCAAGTATATCTAAGTTGTCTGTATATTTAGAAACACCACATAGTTTCCTATTTGATACTGAAAAAAGATGTGTTTTCAGTACATTCCCTTCCCATATTCATTCCAGCATTCCACCACTACCACTCTCCTATCACAGGCCAGGAGGAATAACTGTACCCACAGAGTATGTCCCCAAGTGGGCTCTAGGGCTCCTGCATCAGAATCACTTCAGTGTTGGTTAAAAGTGGAGATTTGGGGGCCTTCCCAGAAAGGAACAGGGAATCCTGTCTGTCATTTTATAAAACAAACAAACAAACAAAAAATCCCCTAAGGTACAAAGAGGCCACCTGACTCATTCACAGTGGCAGAACTTGGCCCCAAATTGCTTGTTTTCAGCACTCCCCTGGCCATGCTTAGGATTTATCTCTGCTAGGAGGTGAGGATTGGGGGAAGTGGTAAGGAGAAGAGGTTTTTCCTCCTGGGCCCCACCTTCAATTTAACGAATCAGAATTTTTAGGGCACAAGGTCTAAATGTGTTTTTCAAAAGTTTTACATTAAAAATGCACAATCTCATTTAAGAACTGTCTGGTGACTTACATTTTTCTCTTTCTCTCTCTCTCTCTCTTTTTTTTTAAGACATAATCTTGCTCCATTGCCCTGGGTAGAGTGCCATGGCATCATACCTCACAGCAACCTCAAACTTCTAGGCTCAAGCAATCCTCTTGCCTCAGCCTCCCAAGTAGCTGGGACTGCAGACATCCACCATAATACCAGGTTAGTTTTTTCTATTTTTACTAGAGACATGGTATCGCTCTTGCTCAAGCTGGTCTTAAACTCCTGAGTTTAAGCAATCTGCTCACCCTGGCCTTTTAGAGCACTAGGATTATAAGTGTGAGCTACCATGCCCGGCCTGATGACAGATTTCTCAATCATATTTTGCCCATAAAATAGAAACTGCGTCGAAAAGTAGCAGATCAAATACAAATAAACATAATATTTATTTGTAAGTAATCACACACATAATTTCCATTGCTAGGCTTACCACCTATTTCTAGTCACTGTACAGTGACAGCTCAGGGATAGGCCAGGTATTCATATTTATTCTTAAATATTTTCAATAACTCCATTTCTCATCTGGGCCGATGAATTGACCAAGGGATATAGCAAAGGCTCCCTCTGCTTTTGGTACATGGGAAGAGTCCAGTGAGCTCAAGCTAGCTTAGTTACAACGCAGATAATTAAATGTCAGATTAAAGGAAAAAATTGTGTATCTGGCATTAGTTTGGCAAGTAAACTAAAGACACAGCCAGTTAATGTGAATTTTTGAAAAGCACCAAGTGGGTGACCTTCTGGACCTTCAGTAAGATTAAACAGGAAATAGGATGAAAATCTTTGTTTCTCTCTGATGGCAGCAGTGCCAGCCATGTAGCAAAGCCATAGATCAACAAGACAAAGGGGAAGAAGGGGCAGCTGCTACGAAATCTTCTGCCAACTTTTACCCTGGACCTTTTGTTCTCAGATTGATAATTAAAAGAAAAAAAGTAGTGGAGGACAGGAAGAGAGGGATGCTTTCTGTGGGTTTGCAAGGCCCTAAGAAATCCTGCCAACACTCATCATTGCCTCCTGCCCACATGATGGGTCACAGATATTCGAGCTGCATATGCACAAATTTAACAATCATCTTTAGACTGAGCAAGTTAGGAATGTTCTGTTAGACATCAAAATGGTGAACTCCAGTCTGGCTTCTTGGGGGGAAGAGGGAGTCTTAGAGTTAACTGAGACCATGAATTACTTAATATTCAAAGCTGTGAGTTTTGAAACATAAGACATAATTAAAAGGCATTAAGAAAATCAATGAAAGAGATGGACCAGCTTTTCGGAAATTTTGCATTGAATTACTGACAGAAAAAGAAGACTACTGGAAAAAAATCAAATCAATTCCTTACTGTATAATCAGTCACTGAGAAGCAGTTTCTCTTTTTGTGGCAATTTTTGTGGCTTCTACCCACCTAATCTCATTCTGTCTTGCTCCTTGTAACATACTATTCAGAATTCTATTTACTCACTTCTCCTCACTTAATGCTCCTGCAGAGGGAAGAATTAGCAACTGTGGGGAGCTGCCCCAGAGTGATTTTTAGAAATCTCTATCTTGTTCTCGTGCTAACTGTTCTTTATTTAACATTGCTTGAATAGTTTTGTTTGCTTAGTTTAGCTCTTTAAACCTATTTGGTGTTCATATTGTTAGGACTTTGGTTTTGTTATGGAATCCTAAACTGGAGTTCCTTGTATTTATTTAAGCTGGTAACTTCAAGGCTGAAGAAAAACGCTATGAGTGAGTCTTCTGAACTATGTTACCTGTCATTTGCTAACGAAAGACGTGCATTTTTCAGGACAGTTGCTCTTACCTGCTGCTTGAGTGCCTCCAAAGATTCAAATTCCAATCGGGCCAGTTTCATCTGGATATGTCGTGGTTTATCAGGTATAGCAAATGCAAGTATAAACTTCAAAGCCAGGAGCACATGCTGAAAGCAAGAAAGAGTTCGTGGTGATGTGATGCCTTAGACTACCTGTGCAAGGAAATAAATTGGTACCTAAGTAATCTGGGATCTTTTATTAATCGTGGGTAATTTCTTTTCTTTTCTTTTTTGAGACAGAGTCTTACTTTGTTACCCTCCATAGAGTGCTGTGGCATCATAGCTCAGCAACTTCAAACTCTTGGGCTCAAGCGATTCTCTTGCCTCCACTTCTGAGTAGCTAGGACTACAGGCGCCCTCCACAATGCCAGGCTATTTTTAGAGACAAGGTCTCTCTCTGGCTCAGGCTGGTCTTGAACCCATGAGCTCAGACCATAGACTCGCCTCAGTGCTATGGATTATAGGCGTGAGCCATCGTGCCCAGCTGGATTATAGGCGTGAGCCATCGTGCCCAGCTGATCGTGGGTAATTTCTAATTACTGAACTGTGAAGAAGTATCAAAGACCAACCAGGTCCATGAGTTATACATATTTAGACCATTCCACTGTGGCCCATTTAAAAATTATTTCCTGGCTTTGTTTTATTCTTTTAAATTAGTTATTCTCATAAGTTGCAATCATATGCTATTCTTAATGTTTTATAGAAAAACAAAATTTATTCCAAAATCATCTACAGGACTTTCTTCTACCTATGCCTTAACAATATATTCTTAGAATACAATATTTATACGATTTTTCATTATCTCCCCAACAACATCCCTCTATACTGAGCTTTGGGTTGAGTTGTATGAAGCACTCAAGTATCTCAAGCACAAGGTGCTTTGAATCCTCTACATCCTCAACAGTATCTGGTATAGCTTCTCTCATGACGTGATCCTCAGTAAATACTGATTAACTGAATGGTTGTAATGTCATGCTGCTAACCCGATATGAGGTAAGGCAAGTATACGGAAACATAGTGTCCATTATAACATGGAAAACTTAAAACTTGGCTATATATGTCCCTTCCACACTGGTATCATAACAAGGTTCTCTATAACATAATGGTATGAGATTTATAATTAAGCCAAACAGCACTGTTTCCATTGGTAATCCTGCTCTTCAGATGTACAGCTTCAACCTATTGATACTTCTCCAAAACTAAGCATCATCTTGTGATCAACATCCACAGAAATCTAAAAGACTAAAAGAATGAAGCTGTCACTGTGGAAAAAGAATGAATTACTAAATTTTCTTTTTTTTGAGACAGAGTCTTACTCTGTTGTACCAGGTCAGAGTGTTGTGGTGTCAACACAGCCTCAAACTCTTGGGTTCAAATGATCCTCCTGCCTCAGCCTCCCACGTAGCTGGGACTACAGGCACCCACCACAGTGATCAGCCAAATTTTCCATTTTTAGTAGAAATGGGTTCTCACTTTTTCTCCAGTTGGTCTAGAACTCCTAAGCTCAAATGATCCTCCTACCTTGGCCTCTTGGAGTGCTAGGATTATAGGTGTGAGCCATCATGCCCAGCTATGAATTACTAAATATTAAAAACTGTGAGTTTTTAAAGGTAAGAAATAATTATAAGGTATTAAGAAAATCAATGAAAGAGATAAAACACCTTTTAAGAAATGTTGCACTGAATTATTGACAGAAAAAGAAGACTATTGGAAAAAATTAAATGAATTCCTTACTGTGATATTTCCAAAAGGATGATAAGAAATAAATAACAAATGGATATCTCCTGGGAGAAACATGAAATAGTGAAGGTAATCAGCATGATGTCAGAGCAAGCAATAATTCAATCAGAAGAGCTGAAAATCAGCAGAGGGAGAAAGAGAGAGAGAGAGAAAGATCTGGAGCAGACCAGGGACAGGCAGCCTTCACACTAATGTGACCGTTATAATCAAGGACAGTACTGAAAGATACTGATTGGGGGACTACAGGAAGAAAGCAAGTAGATAACACAGCATGTATCAGATGATACCATATGCTGAAATTCTAAACTAACTGAATTATCAGGATAACTGGATATAACCGCCAGAGATTAAATGAATAATTCAGAAAGGGCTATACTGTGCCATTATTTCACTCTATTAGAGTACTGAGATATAACTGTATATAAGAAAATCTCTGCAGTAGAAATATTAGGCAAGAAATAAATTAGGGGATGAAAACCAATCTTATATTTTTCAGAAACTGTGTGGCCTTAAATTGCCAGAGCCCCACTGGCTCTATTCCATTTCTCCTAATAAATCTGTGTCCATTTCCTCTTTCTCAGAGTCCTGGCAGAAACTAAAAGACAAAACAAAACATCCTGCCAAGGAAGGACAGGCTTCCCTTAGAGGTAAGGCATCTGGAAGGTCTGTTAACTCTTCTTTGGGAACCAGGACTGGCTTATTGGATGACTGAACAAGGTTGCCACAAACCTCAGCACTGTCATCTCCATGTGAAATGCTCACAAAACTCTCATGAATTGAAAAAAGTTGGATTAATTAGATAATATTGATCAAAATAAAAAAGCTGTTTTAATATTTAAACACTTATATATCAACAACACAAGTAATTTTATGAGTAATTCTCTATAGTTTATTTTCCTAAAAATATAATACCCTCACAATGGTTTTCTTTGGATGATCACACTATGAACGAACTCTTGATCTTTAGTCTTTAATAATTATGCACTACTTTTATATGGGAGGAAAGTCTTGCATAGAAAAGAACACAAGTATCCCTCATTCATAATTGATTGCTCATTTACCCAGTAAACAGACCAAAAGAACAGACAACAGAAGCTCAGAGAATTTCGCCTTTTAACTGGAGACCAGTAATAAAAGAACCTGGGTAAAGTGATCACTCTGCATTCATTCATTCTGCAAATATGTAAACAGCACTTACGCAGGGCCAGGCTACTTAAATGGTGGCCTTTGTCCATCACTTTCTAACTTCCCCTAATCTACCATACTGATTTTTTCCCCACTTTGCTAAACTCCCAGAAGTTTCACCAATTATAAGTTTATTTGCTTTAATATACATCTTCTGTAAAAAGTAAGCACACCCCTGGGAAAATTAGGGAGCATCATCTATTCACAGATATTAATTTAATTAGTTGATACTGGCAAATTCTTTCTCTTTGTCCTCCATCCCCTGGCAAATAAAAATGAACATTGGGAAGACACCACAGCAGAGATAACAAGCAGCTTCAGCAGCAGGGGACCAGTTTCAAAGAAGTGGGGTAAAGAGAAGTGGAAAGGAATCGATGTTATCTCCACAGTCAGGAAAGGACACATTAGACTTTCCCTATCAGCATCTCCTTCTTAGTGGTTTCTTCTACCCAGGACCCAGAATTCAGTTGGGTATCATAATGGATTAAATAAGCTTCTGTGTCTAGGCTGGAAACCTAAATAACATTTATAGCACTGTGTTTCCTAGATTGATTTTTTAGATATTGTTTGTATTTTCTATATAGCCAGTCTGTTTCAAGGCCGAGAACAGCTTTATGCCAACAGAGTTGAGAAAAAAAGTCATAAAAATTATTTAGCCATTCTTATTTGTTTACTTAACAAAAGAAAATCTAAGATGAAATAGAAATCCACTTATATTAGAAGAAAAACACACTCCAAATGAAGAATTGGGTGGAAGGAGCCTGTCTATGAAAAGAGAAGGCATTTTATGGGCCATGAATGTGATTCTTCACCAACAATCTCCTTTCAAATTAAAACTTATAAAATTATATCCTAAACAAAGTAAAGGAGAAAAGAAACAATGGGGGGCAGGATATGGAGATAGGCAGAATTTTTAAACTAATAAATACAAAGATGTTGGCTCCTCACAACAGTATGCTTTAAGCAGTGATTATAGGGTGTCTGGGCTGAGAAAGGGAAAGAGAACAGGATTAGAGAAAATTAGCACTCAGAAGCTGAATGTTTTCCGGTGCCAGTGGTAGAGCACTGTCTGCTCTGCTATCAGAGCACTGCTCACCTTTGGTCATGGCAGGGCTGTCAAACCCTGGGAATCTCATGCCAGGTGCACAGTGAGTGGAACCATTTTATTTTGCCAAAACGAGAAAACTTGCGATATGATCGGCAGTAGCAGCTGTGTTTTGTAGCAGTGTGTCCCCAACCCTGTCTCTTCGGAAACAGAAAATGCAAATTAGAGTTGAGTTCTTAGAATTCTGAAAAGCAATTTGGGGTCCTACAGTAGTGTGTCTACAGTATTACCTCTTTCCATTCAGAGCCCAGCCACAACTGAACAAAAAGAACTCCATCAAAAAAGTATCCTTTGTTGATTGCCAAGCAAATAACATGTCAAATGCCAATTAATAAAAATGATCAATGAAGCAGATATTTTTAAAAAATCATGGAATTAGGCTCTTAAGAAAACAACCTCAGTGGTTGTCATATTAAGACGGTAGACCAAGCATAAATATCTACTTCTTCAACCTCCCAAGGGTACCCTGAAATTATAGATATATATATATTTTCTAAAGGGAACAATAATGGAAAATAAAAGAAGTTGCCAGAACTTCTGAGGATAGGACTGATGAAGTGAAAAACGTCGCTCAAGTCCCTCGAGACAAAAGCACGTTCTCCCTAAGAGGTGCCAGTATCAGATTTAACTCCACAAAAGGAAAAGATTGGGCCAGGGCATCAGCACTAAAGTAAATGCATTAAAGAACAGTCTCCAGAAAGGTAGAGTCAGTAGGAACCCTTTTTCATGCCACCTTATAACAAAGTAAATAGACAGAAGTTCTACTCTTACCCTAAATTGAGATATCTGCCCTTAGAGGAAGCAAATGATCTGCGGAAGAGCTCTTCATGTGGGGCTGCTAGGCTTAAGAGAGATGCAAAGTAGAGCCTAAGGTCATGCCAGACTCCCTCTAAAGACCTGGAAACCAGAGTGACATAAGCAGTATGGCAGAATAGGAAGCCCCAGAACGATCTCACAGAGACACTGACTTAACAACAATATACAGTCCAAAAAGCCTTTATAAGAACTCTAGAAACCAAAAAGTCAAAGCACCCAGGAAAGCTCAAAGGAAAGAACAGCTACATTAAAATGGGTAAGA